CCAACCAACTGGTGTAGGCTAGCTGGCACAATAACGTTCATTTTCATACTTCAAATCCGAGTGTTTTCTAGCTCATCAATGTTGTATTATCATAATTATCTGTTCTTGTGTCAACAAGTTATCAGCACTGGCATGTGCTGCCACCTATGGAGGTTGAGAAAAACTAAATAAACATGGCTGGTTTCTGTTAACGCAAGGCTTTTGTCCTACTCATTATTTGTGTCTAATTAACGCCCACAAGATAAACCTCCTGACTCAATCATTATATACATATTGCATACATACATACACCCACACTCATATTTATATAAGTACGTGTAATATAATTATATATAAGATAATACTTATATCAAGTATAAATACACTGATAATTGTAATAGTGGTGAGATCATGCCACCCCTATACTTAATCTATTCATTTATACGAGATTAGTAAAATAAGAAGTCACTGTCTTTCATTGTCTTAACCTTTTTCATAAGGTGTTTTTTAACTTGCCCTTTGAAACTAATATATCTGGTTGCAGATGTAATGTGAGGTGGTAGGGAGTTGCAAGCTTCAATTAAAGTATGTATAAATGTCTTTTTTCCATTGACCCCCACTGTTGGTTTAAAGATTGACAGCTCGATCCCAGCCCTAGTTTTGAAGCCGTAAATTTCCGAGGTTAATGTAAATCATTTAGTTATGTATTCGGGACTGAGATTATGCAGAATTTTGAAAACATGGTTTACATTCAGTTGTAGGGCCTACTACTCTGAACTCGACTGGAACCCAATTTACAGACAGGAACTCCCTTGCACCTATGTGGGTTCTTGGCCCCCCGATTTAGAACACATCTAATAGCTTTATTTTGGCATACCTGCAACTTGCATTTTGTTTTCATTGAAAGGCTACTGTACCAAACACTACACGCATAATCCAAATGACAATTAATCAAGGCAGTAACTAGTAATTTGTTACATGATTTGTTTAAATATTTAGCTTTCCTGTAAATAAATTTTAGTCTATTGTTGACCTTTTTGACAACTTTGCTTCCTGTAATTTCAGCAGTCAAATTGTGTTCTAAGTCTAGTCCTAAATATTTTACTGCAGTCTTACTTTGAATATCTGACCCATTGCATGTGACAACAAAGTTTGTAAGTCGACTGATATTATTTTTTGATTCAAACAGAATGGCCGGTTTCTGTCTTTCCAAGGTGCAGGAATAGATTGTTGTCACACAGCCATCTATAATAAGCTTATTATATAATAGCATATCTATATAAATAAGCTTATTACTAAATCATGTTCTAATCTTAGAGTCAGACGTTTTGTTTACATTCAATCAATGTAACATTGTTAATTGGCCTTTAGTGCCATAGTGGTATCTTATTGTTCTTGATAACGATACAAGTTAAACACAATATTATTATTCAAGTTTCATGTATATGTAGAGGTTGGTCATAGCTTCAAATATAATGTTGAGTCTTACAAGGTATTGCAAATAATCACTGTTGGTGGTAGGTGTAAATTGTGTCTCCACATTTCAACCGTGCCAAGAGGTCAACACCGTCAGTTTTCTTTGGTTCCTGACCAAACAACGACATACATCGTTCAACTAGATACTATGGAAAAGTAAATATTAGTATAGTCTAGTGTCAATGCTGTAATAGACAAGTTATTTGCCTGAAGTCTGTAATCATAGCATCTCATAAGTCCAGCCATGGCGTGTCTGCTAAAGATGATAACTTTTCATCCTGCGACTTTGTGAAGTGCAATCAACCTGCAGTATATAGTGAATGTTTTTTGGGCTTCCCGGTTAAAAGAGTGATCAAGCGCTTCAGCATCAATACTCTTGCTGACTCATAACTCATAATTGTAGATGCTAGGTAAAAATTACATATCTTCATTTAAAGTAGAGTCAAATATGTCAAATAGTCATCAGTTCCCTGCTTGCCACGTCACCCCGCAGACAGCGAGGTAAACCGAGCGTACAATTACGTGACCTAAATAAGGCTATGCGCATGCGCATTGCGTAACCTAGCGCGCGCTAGGCACCGAATTGCGTACAGACACAGCTTAGAGCGGGCTATCTTCGTCCGGACTAAGTTAGCCCTGCTTCAATTGCGGGGCTAACTTGGAGCGAGCCAGACGTATTTGGAGCGGGATAGCATTACACACTGCAAATATTTAGCGCACGCTAGTTTAATACTATATCAAATTCGTAGTCTGTATGGGGTATCCGTATGAACTCAAATGATAATTACTCTCACTCATAGTTATATGTTATATAGTCGCAATAGCAGTCGCTGATAGCATGGCTGATAGTATCACAGCATGGGCTAAACATAGACTGGTACTCGCTTCCACCTCGATTACTCGCCCCATTGAGTAACTAAGCCGAGAGGTGGGACCGGGTACCAGTCTACGTAATACGATGCAGCATGCACGCACCATCTATCGGAACAGAGTAAGAAGAATGTCCCGGCAGGATAGGTCAAAAGTGCAGAAAGAATTACTTTCTTAACTTCAGTTTAATCAATCTTGAGATAAGTAATTGCAGAATTGAATCGTCAAACCTACCAATGAAAATTTGCCAGTTTTTTACTGTCCTTGGCATGGCTCTCTCTCTCCTTCAATGTTACAGTAGTGTGCAATGTCGGGATATGGTGGAGGCATGCTGGCTTCAGAGCCCGATGGTTGACTGTCAGTCGAACATGTGTTGATATCCCCCCCGACATTGAAGAAATCTGTACGTTATACGTGCGTCTCCCCTTACCCTCTGCCCGTTATCTTCGTCGAAAGTTTGGACGCCGCACGGCGAATCAGAATGTACATTTCAATCGATGACGTAACTGATACAGTAGCGCGCCGCGTGGGTGTTATTTGTTTATAAACAATTTAGTCCTGACTGACTCTCTCCCTCTCTCTCCTGTCGCCTCTCCTCTCTCTCTCTCTCTCGTCTCCATCTCTCTCTCTCTCTCTCTCTCTCTCTCTCTCTCTCTCTCTCTCTTTCTCTTTCTCTCTCTTGCCCCCTCTCTCTCGCTCTCTCTCTGCAATAAAAAAAAAAAGTTTGCTGAAATGATGTGTACGCAACTGCGTATCTGCATATCTGCGCCTAACGAAGGTATCACTACGCACGACTGAAATGTTACGTTTATAACCGTAGAAACAAACCTCAGATGAGCCCAGTCGCTCTGCGGCACTTGTTAATAATAGCTTTCTGTAAATGCCGTTGAAATGCTATAATTATAGCTAGAAGAATATGCTAGAAATATAGAAATATAGCTATAGGGCTCGAATTATAGAGATTTTGGTGTAACTGTAAGTGCACAGCGGCGTGCGTGCGGTGGACTTGTGAGTTGTGTGTGTTGCAGAGGAGTAAAGCTGAAATGACGATAGCTCTAGTACTATAGCCCGCGTACAGTTGCCGCAGGCCTGTAGGCGTAGCCTGCGGCAACTGTACGCAGGCTATAGTACTAGCGCTCAGAGTAGCGTTTAAACCCCCATATCGTGACTTTCGTGAATGTCTGGGTACACTCTTAAAAATGAAATGAGTTCTTCTTGAGGGTGTTGTCTAATAATTTCTAGCAAGAAATCTGTCATTTGTTGTCAGAAAGGAGGGACAAAACGTCGTTTAACCGAGGGTACTCACCTTGTATTGACTGTTTCTCACGATTTCAACGTTAATTTCGCACCCTGACTCGGTACGTGTAATTTTTAGACGTGTAATATTAGTGCAGCACAGACAAAACCACGACAACATTGAATTCATCTGTTTTTTTACGCAGGTATCTTGCGTTTTGAAGACAGAATGTCGGAAAGCGTCACGATGAGCCACGCCACGAACGTCCCCCGTGTGACGGACGGTCCCCGCGGCAGCGCGACGGTCGTCCCGCGCTACGTGTGCGACGTGTGCGGTGAGGAGTGCACGAGCGAAGCGGACGCGCTCTCGCACGTGCAGGCCGCCCACATCGAGTCCTCCCTCAGCTGCCCGTTCTGCGAGCTGGCAGAGGTCGCGCTCGAAGAGCTGAGCCTCCACATCGCCCACTGCCACCCAGAGGGCGCCGCTGTCTCGAGCGCGGGCGACGCAGCGCTGCGGTGTCCTCTCTGTGGAGTGAGCGACGCGTCACCGACGCGCCTACAGCTGCACGTCAATAGAGCGCACCTGGACGCTGCGAGTCCGGGCAGAGCTCGCGTCTACACTGCCCCACCAGCGGCCGCAAGAGAGGGCGCCGCCAAGGCGTCCGTGAAAGAGGGCGCCGCCGGTGCGTCGGCGAGAGAGGGCGCCGTCGGTGCGTCGGCGAGAGAGGGCGAGGCCGGTGCGTCGGCGAGAGAGGGCGCCGCCGGTGCGTCGGCGAGAGAGCGCGGCGCCGGTGCTTCGGCGAGAGAGGGCGTCGCCGCGGCGTCTGCGAGAGAGGGCGTCGCCGAGGCGTCCGCGAGCTAGGGCGTCGCCGAGGCCGATCGTCATCGGGCGGGGGCAGTGGCGGTGGCGTGCCCGTTCTGCGGGTTGGAGTGCGAGAGCGCGGCGCAGGCGCAGGACCACATCAACGCGCGTCACGTCGACGCCAGCGAAGATTCGCACGCCCTGCTGACGCCTCCAATCACTTTCCCTCGGGACTCCGGTGGAGACCCCGACGGTGGCTCCCCCACGCTCGCTCGAGCGTCGTGCGATGACCGGGATACTCGAACGTCGATCGCTGCTCGTCTCCGGCGCAAACATGTGTTCGCTCGCGCGACGGAAGGCGCCGACGCTGCGAGCGGAGGTTCGAAGACCGCGCGCGTGTCTGCCGTCGCTTCCGCGTGCGACCAGCGGACGGGGCGCGACCGCTGGGAGGTGGCGAGACTCGTGGACGACAGCGGCGACTTCCGTGGGAGCACGATCGCCGCGCCGCTCGTTAGCGCCGAGGACGAGCGATGCTGCACGCGGGGTCTCGTCGAGCGACTGCGCGCGCGCATCCCGACGCTGCTCCTCTGCGCGACCGCCGCGCACTTTGCGTCAACGGCGGCCGACCGCGGCTGGGCGTGCGGCTACAGGAATGCTCAGATGTTGCTGTCGTCGGTCGCGCGCTGGCCCGGCGTCGCGGCGCGCGCGTTCCCCGCCGCTGCCGCCTGCGTGCCGACCGTAGCCGAGCTCCAGCGCGAGATCGAGGCCGGCTGGGCGGCGGGGTTCGACGCGGTCGGGCGGGCGCAGCTCGGAGGCCGTCTCGCCGGCACGCGCGCCTGGATCGGCGCCACCGAGGTTGTCGTCGCGCTCGCGCGCCGCCGCCTGCGATGCGACATCGTCGACTTCCACGCGGCGACGGGCGACGGCGGCACGCACCCGTTACTCGTAGACTATGTACAGCGCCACTTTACCGCCGCGACGGAGGAGGGTCGGTTCGTGCCGCCGCTGTACCTGCAGCATAGCGGTCACAGCCGGACGGTGGTGGGCTGCGAGCGGCGAGCGGACGGCGGCGTCCACTTGCTCGTGTTCGACCCGAGCGCGAGCACGGAGTCGGTGCGTCGCGCCGCGAGCAGCGCCCCCTCGCTGCTGAAGCTGCTGCGGCGGTCTGCGCGGACGCTGCGCGCCCCGCAGTACCAGCTCATCGTCGTGCGCGGCGTCATGACGACGGAGGAGGAGTACGAGGATGCTAAGCAAGGTGGGAATCTCGTGCGCATTCCCTAGCAGCAGCAACCGCCCACTGCCGACTCAACCTTACCTCGCGGGGGACTCCGAGGGACTGTATATATACCGAAGGCAGAGCGAGCGAGAGTCAATCATATCGATACATCAGCAGTGTATACGGAAGACAGAGAGAGTGGGAGTCGATCATATCGATAGATCGGTACAGCGGATTGTAGTGGAAAAAGTTAAAACGATTTTACGATCAACCAGGGTAGGTTTACGCACGGGAGACGGGAATTTTTAAATGAGACTTTTTCGACTGGATATGTTATTTCCTTGGACGCTTTCAATTGATTGGTGCTTCGGGTTTATAAAGATATTATTACATATCTGCTTGAATGCTATCGACCTATGTTATGCATAGGATGATAGGGTGTATTATATCATTAATTATTTTCTGATACATATATTCATGATTGTATTATATATTTTATTTTCTATTGCTTTTATATAAATAGGTCTAAACAATGTTTAAATAAATTTTATTATCACAATCCT